TATGCGGGCGTATACCCGCGGTCCCCTGTCGGAGGGGCGGCTGCCGGCCGGTACGTTACGTCCCCGGCTGCGCGGGCACCAAACCCCGGGCAGGCAAACCGGGACCGCTGCGGCTTCGCATCCCCAGTGCAACCGGGTTAAATAATTCCCCCAAAAAGCCATCCCCGCCGCCTGGCTTCCACCCGCGCCTCCCTCGCCCGGGTGAATCGATATGCAAATCAATTCATCCCCTGATCGATTTTATCAAGATAGAGGCGGCGCTGCCACATCTCATTTGCAGCAGGGATCTCGTGGAAAGCCAAGGTCAGCGGGCAGCAAGCCGTCTGCGAAAACCACGTTATACATCCTCCGATAAGAGTTTTACATCCACGCGGCGGAGAGGGCGATTTCCCCCCCCCCGACACCGTTATTTACGACGCTCGGTGACATCGGACTGCTCGAGCTGCTCGCGCCGGCCGCGGTGCTGGGGAGGCTCGGCTCCTGCACAGCCACCGCTCTGCCCTCTTCTCCCAGCCCGGCAGATTAAAATAGCAGGGAGAGCTATTAAGGGCATGGGGAAGGGGGAAGGGAGCAGAGACCTTCCTTTCGGTTTAGTAAATTAAGATGGGGAAAAAAAAAAACAAACAACCTAAAAAACAAAAAAACCTGCCCTCAAACCACCACTGCTCCTAAAAGAAGATTAAATAAATCTTACAGGAGCTGGAAATAAAGATTTTACTATTTCTGAAGTTTTAAAAAAAAAAAGGGGGGGGAGTGTATAGCTATCAATAGAGAGCACTAGAACTGCCTGCCCGTACAATATTTATATTTACCGTGAGCTAATATTCGTGAGCTTTAACCAGACGCTGAGCCCTGACATCATTTCACCAGGACGCCAATGCTTCCCCCTTCCAAAAAAGCTGAGGAAAGGATCCTCCCGCTTTGCCTCACCTTACATAAAAAACAAGCGCAAGACACCAAAAGCACGCTTTAAATCTTGTTTTAGACCCTGCCCATAAACAAATGCCGATAAATGCTGCAAAAGGGCAGCGACTCGCCGAATTTACCATCTGCCCAGGCACAGCACGTGCAGGCACCAGCTCCCACCGCCTGCTCCGAACAGCCCCCCCCCGGAGCAGCGCGCATTTCCAGGCCCGTGGGCTGGGAAAAGAGGAGCTGGCCACAGCAAATAGGGCAGCACAGAGAGTCTTATTTATTTTTTTTTAATTTACTCCAATGCCCTGGGTTCAGATCAGCGTTATTCGTTCAGTAATCACTACTGCATGGGATTTCCCAGGATGGAGCCTTATATCCCCCCACCAGCCCTCCCTGTGTGCATCTCCGCCTGCCCGAGCGAGGGGCTCCACGGGGCACACGCTGGATCGGATGAGCGTGGATGGGAAGCCATGGGATTTATCCGGGATGGCAAAGCCGGCAGCGGGAAACGCCTCCCGTCCGTCGCAGCTGGATCACGCAGGCTCAGACGCTGCCCCAGCTCCAGACCCAGGCGGATCTGCCCACCTTGGCTTTCGTATTTGGGATGCAGCCGCGGCACGAGGCTGGCGGTACCAAAGGTCCACCGAGCGACGGTACCGGCTGGCGGGGCTGCTGGCCCCGGGGCCCCCCCTGCATCTCTGCTGCACCCCCGCCGCCGACGCTCGAGACCGATGCAAGAAGTTCCAAAATGTCACGCTCTCATGGGCGGGCTGGAGCGCGGGCACCAAGGGGTTAAGGCATCGCGACGCACGCAGCCCCGCTTACAACACCCGGCACTAGTTCGGCCGTCCAAAATCATCATCCCCGTTCTTCGGGCATCTGGTGACGCTGATGTACCGAGCACGAAGAGAAGAGCGTTTGCTTCCCTGGGTGGCGTTGACCCTGCGGGGCTGCGCTTTGGCATCACACCCGCTGTGACTGCTACGCTGAGCAAACGTGACATGGGTGTCAGAGGCGTCAAGCAAGAGCACCGGAGGAACTTATTCTTAAAAATAATACGGAATTTCGGCACGGAAGCAAAGTGACCTTAGCGCCGAGTACATCTGCCGCAGCAGCGGCGTGATTATGCAGATGTTCTGATTCCTAATTCAGAAATAATAAGCGGTTCACAGATTCCAAGTTTAAAAATATATTCATCATCTGGTTTCCTTAGCAGCACGTGTGCCGTTGGAGCACCAGCGCGGTCCGCAAACGGCGAAGCGCCGGCCTCAGCCGCTCATTCCTCCTAACTTAAGGTTAGGACTTAACTTCACTTAACTAACTTAAGGGGCTGTCAGGACATGGGGAAAGCGTTCGGCGCGGCGCATCGGATGCTTTCCGGGGAGGTGCCGGGAAGGGTCCCAGGATGGTCCAGGCAGCATCATCCTGGTGCTCCCCGGGGAAGAGGGAGCCTGCAGCTCCTGGAGCCCCGAGGAGATGGCAGAAGTTCCCAGGGAGCCCAAAGTAGGGAGATAGGGGAGAGTGGAGATACTAATGGGATGCTGGAACCAAGAACAACTTAAATAAGGGGGAGCGTTTTAGGGTAGGGGGATTCTTTTTTAATTTCCACTCTCTTCAATGACCCGAGCGCAGGGACGAGGCTGGACACGCGTCAGAAACAGGGGGGGCTGCCACAGGGATGAGCTGGGATGGGCCGGGGAGCCACTTCCCTGTGCTTGAGCTCATCTTCAGGGAGCGGGAACAGCCTCCCCTGGGCAGCAGGGCAGGAGGGGACATCCCCGGGTCCCTCTCCGACGACTTCGCGTCAGCGCTACGCTGTTTTACTTTCCCAGCGAGTTTTGCACGGCACCCTCTTCTCCCAACCCCGTTTCTCCCCCCCGTGTCTGCTCCTAGGAGGGTGCACACCTTTCCGCACCCACCTCCCATCCCTGCCAGCTCCTTTGGGTGCCTCGAGCTGGATGAAATAAATCCACAGCAGAAGC